CTCCTCCAGGAAGAGAGGGCAGCCCTTGTGCTAGATGACGGAGCTGGCTTAGGTGAGACAGGGCACTGGGGATTGGCCACTGGGGACCCTGGCAAGACAGTTTGGGGGTGTGGGGAGAGAGTGGGGGAGAGAAATTGAGGACAGCAAGTGTGCGTCTGTTCTTCAAGGCATTTGAGTCAATGGAATGGAAGGGGATGGGGAGGCAGGGTCAGCGGAAAGGGCTTTTGTTTTACTTTTTCAGGATGAGAGAAATAATAGCAGGATCCAGTGATCTAAGACATATCACAGCCTTAGTCTGGGTGTGCCTAGGACATCGTATAAGAGTAAGTGTCGGGCACATTTTAACTGTTCAACAAGATTTACCTAAAATTTAAGCTGAAAATTGAGTCATGATTTCCCCCTTGCTTCTATCAGATCCCTTCTGACAAAACTTGCCTTTTCTGTGCTCTGTTCACAGAGAGTAAATATGAGACAGAGACTGTCTGAGAGTCTCTTTGGCGCTAGGGTGTCTAAGGACACTTCGGCACCACAGCCCACCCCCCCAGTGACAGTTTGCAGTCATTAGGGAACACCTGCTGAACCTGTGTCTCTCTCTGGCATGTGATACAGTCACAGGGTAACCAGCCATTCCCCTTTGTCTGGGACTCTGCCAGTTTCATCACTGAAAACCCGTGTCTCAGGAATCCCCTCAGTCCAGGACGAGCTTGTAGTTCTGGGCACCCCAGATACAGAATCAGTCTTCACACTGGGGAAAAATACTCGAGCTACTTCAGCGGGTTAAAATGCTTCAGCACGGCAGCTGGCACCGACTAAGACCTTAATAAAAGGAAGGTGCTGCTGTTATTGTATCTCTTCTTAATTTCACCTACCCCATGTCCCATTCTGGTGGCCCTGAATCTGTTTATTCAGGAGTTCCTCTGTGTGTGTGTTTGTGTGTGCGTGCGTGTGTGAGTGTGCGTGTGTGCACGCGCGTGTGTGTATGTGTGTGTGCGTTTGTGTGCGTGCGTGTCTGTGCTTGTGTTTTTGCGTGTGTTTGCGTGCGTGTGTGTGCGTGTGCATGCCTGCGTGTGTGTATGTGTGTGCGTGCCTGTGTGCGTGTGAGGGGTGTGTGTGTGTGCACGTGTGCATGTGTGTGCATGTGTGTGTCCGTGTGTGCATGCGTGTGTGTGTGCATGTGTGCGTGTGTGTGCATGTGCGTGCGTGTGTGTGCGTGTCTGTGTGTGTGCGTGTGCATGTGCACGCCTGTGTGTGCGTGTGCGTGTTTGTGTGCATGTGTGTGTGTGCATGTGCGTGCGTGTTTGTGCGTGCATGTGGGTGGGTGCGTGTGTGTGCGTGTGTGTGTGTGTGTGTGTGTACAGGAAGACCTTCCGAGGCCCTTTGATACCAACACTGCTCTCAGTGGTGTACAACTAACTTACCTCACACAGGACAAGGAGTTGGAAGTACACTCTTAGCTCTTTGATTTAGGAAGAGCCATATACATCAGTCCAGTCCCAGCCCCTCAGAAGCCCCATTATCTCAGCTTGTTCCACTAGGTCCCTTCTTTGTGGCTCACTCTTTGTCAAAAGGCATGCTGGCATCATTGTTAGAACATCCACAATGAAATTTATTGAAGATGTTTAACCAGTAAAAACACCTCAGGGTACAAATGGATTCTTCTCAAAACATGTCTCCTAAGGAGCAGACTTTTTTTTTTTTTTTCCTTTTTGTCTTTTTTCGTGTCCGGCAACGGATTGCAACCATCAGTGTCACGCCTGTACCGGACCGGGACCGGCAATGGGATCGCAACCCTTGGTGTTGCTCCCACACCTCGCTCAGCCAGTGAGCGGGAACCGGTCTGTATGTGGGATCCGAACCCTCGGCGGGAGCGCCACCACGCTCCCAAGCGGCGCACTGTAGCAGTGCCCAACCGGGCCATGGAGCAGACTTTAATAAGAATTATTTTTGTCATTGAGAATTATGAAAATCAAATGGCAGCTAAAGGCATCAAAAAGTTCTATGCTTTACTGCTGGATTGTTGCTGATTAAATAATTACGTTATCAAATTTATGCATAGTTATTTTACAGGAACAGGATTTATATAGAGGAGAATTGTATAGAGCAGTTGTTTCTCCATAGGACAACGTATATACTTAGCAAAAAGGATTTCAGGTATAAATTTTGAACTGGAATAATAGAGTACTTTGATGTAAATGTTTAGGTTTTAATCATGCAAAGTTGTCAGTTCACCTTTATAGTGAAATCAATTTGATATTATTATATCCAATAACACAAAAATTNGTGGCCCTGAATCTGTTTATTCAGGAGTTCCTCTGTGTGTGTGTTTGTGTGTGCATGTGTGCATGTGTGTGTGCGTGTGTGTGTGAGTGTGTATGTGTGTGCGCGCGTATGTGTGTGTGCGTGCGTTTGCGTATCTGTGTGTGTGTTCATGTGTGTGTGTGCGCGCGCGTGTGTATGTGTGTGTGCGTGTGTGCGTGCGTTTGTGTGCGTGCATGTGCGTGTGTGTGCGTGTGCGTTTGTGTGCGTGTGTGTGTGTGCGTGTGTGCGCGTTTGTGTGCGTGTGCGTTTGTGTGCGTGTGCGTGTCTGTGTGCGTGTGCGTGTGTGTGTATGTGTTTGTGTACAGGAGGACCTTCCGAGGCCCTTTGATACCAACACTGCTCTCAGTGGTGTACAACTAACTTACCTCACACAGGACAAGGAGTTGGAAGTACACTCTTAGCTCTTTGATTTAGGAAGAGCCATATACATCAGTCCAGTCCCAGCCCCTCAGAAGCCCCATGATCTCAGCTTGTTCCACTAGGTCCCTTCTTTGTGGCTCACTCTTTGTCAAAAGGCATTCTGACATCATTGTTAGAGCATCCACAATGAAATTTATTGAAGATGTTTAACCAGTAAAAACGCCTCAGGGTACAAATGGATTATTCTCAAAACATGTCTCCTAAGGAGCAGACTTTAATAAGAATTATTTTTGTCATTGAGAATTATGAAAATCAAATGGCAGCCAAAGGCATCAAAAAGTTCTATGCTTTACTGCTGGATTGTTGCTGATTAAATAATTACGTTATCAAATTTATGCATAGTTATTTTACAGGAACAGGATTTAAATAGAGGAGAATTGTAGAGAGCAGTTGTTTCTCCATAGGACAACGTAAATACTTAGCAAAAAGGATTTCGGTTATAAATTTTAAACATGAATTTTTCTCCATAGGACAACGTATATACTTAGCAAAAAGGATTTCAGGTATAAATTTTGAACTGGAATAATAGAGTACTTTGATGTAAATGTTTAGGTTTTAATCATGCAAAGCTGTCAGTTCACCTTTATAGTGAAATCAATTTGATATTATTATATCCAATAACACACAAATTATATCAAAATTAAATATATAATAATTACTGTATATAACAATACAATAATTTTACAATAATATCAAGTTACAAGGTACCTCCCAAAAGCAATGACTTTGAAAAAGTTTGCTTAAATTTCCTTTTTTTTTTTTAACTTTTGGAAAACCTTGTTATTATAAAAGTGTTCAAATACACCCAAGAGTGAGGAAATAGTATAATGAACCTCCCTGAAATCATTACCAGATTCAATAATCTCATCATTTTTTAACACTCTTTAGGTTCTTTAGGAGAACAGTTGATGTATTAAAAGCTCTAGCAGTATTTGAGAGAGAAAAACTTCAAGAAACTTGTGATGACTTGGTTTTGACACTGGAAGCATGATTGCAAGGCCCCACATTTCTGCACGTCATAGCTCATGATCCCAAAGTGCCCATGGGCCAGCACCACGTCACCAAGTCAAGTGGTGGCCATGGTTGGAAAACCTGTGCACAACAAACCTTTTCTTTCTCTCCAGCTGAACGTGGAGGCGATTGAGAAGACTTTAGCATGGTGGCCAAGCACACAGGGTTTGAGCTTTCGCAGACAAGCCTGTGCTCAAATTCTAGCCCCTACAGTTCTAGCAGGGTAATCATAAGCAAGTTACACTCACTGAGCCTCAGTGTCGTCATCTCTAGATGGTGCATATTGTTACCAAGCTTATAGGTTTGCTCTAAAGATTAAACTTGTTAACGCATGTAAAGCATTTAGCACAGGCTTAGCATTAGAACCTCCTCTTATTCTAGGTGGCTTTTCTGCAGTACTGTTTTGGCTTCATTCAGATGGTACATTGCAATTGGAAGCAAATCACTGACCACAGATGACAGGGAACCAGGGCTATGCCACATCTCTCAGGTTGCTGCCTCTAGTCCTTCCCTCCCAAATAATCTGAACTACTTCTGTGGGTGAATTTTATTTCCCACAGAAGGAGAATTTTATGGGGAAAGCTTATCCGATGCAGACAGAGGTGAAGACTGATTCCACCCACTTGGCTCACCTTTGCCCGCCAGGAATGTTTCAAAGTACTCGTCCCAGCTTCCTGGGTCAGGCGAAAAAAAAAAAAGATTTTCTATT